AGTCCGCTCTCACTTGCACTTTGATTTTAGCCCTGAAATTGTCGCTCTTCAAATGCTTATCCATTTCCATTTTGAAAGTCGCAACTGAATCTGCATCCACTCTTTCAGGTAGTGTTTTCCACAATAGAAACACTCGCTACATGAGCAGAGTTTTCCTTATGTTTTCATTTTCTCTTGTGCCAGCCATCTGGTGTCTGTGCCCTTGATCATTGAACCAATGGAATCAGTTTCTTCTTGGCTATTCTATCGAGCCCTGGCATGATATTGAAAAGTGAGGAAAACTCTCCTCAACATTCTCTTCAATGAGGAAAGGACCCTCAGCTTCTCCAATCTATCCTTGGGGTGCAAGTCCCTTATCCATGGAACCATCCTCATGAACCTTTCCTGCACCTTTTCTAGTGCCTTCCCAATGTGTGATGCCACATTCTGGGCACCATGAGCAGGATTCTCTTGCAGGCTTTGGAACTTTGTCACTGAGACCCAATGCATTTACCAGGAACCAGACTGGCAGAGCTACTTCTACAGTGGTGTCCTCCTAGCTGGCTGTGTCCAAGCTCACTGCCCAATTCAGTACAACAGGCAAACTTCTGATTCAGAAAATCAATAGCTCAGGAGCCTTGGAATTGCCATTGGGAAGTGTTGGCAATACTGAGCCAGGTCAGGGTCAGAGAGGGTACCCTCACGTAGACTGAAAATCACATTTCAGAGGAACCAAGACAGTTGGCTCATGGGAGAAATGGGTATAGCCTTCCCTTTGCCCAGCTCTTTAAGACATGGAGCTTCAATCCCCACTATTGTAGGAAATCATTTTTATGGCAAAAGGTGGGGTGCCACTCTGCCACTGGTGAATTGCCAGTGGGTCCTTTAAACTGCCTCTGTCTGGAGTCTTATGTCTTCACTTTGGCTGCACACTTCTCTCTCACAGCTCTGCTTTTCTTCCCTGCACTTGAAACACTCACCCATGTCCCAGTCAAGGCTGAGCCAGTGTTTCATAAAGGCTCACCCTGACTCCTTGTTTTTGTACACTCTGCCCCTAATTATTCTGCCCAGACTCCCATATGACTATTTAACCAAGACCTGACTCTGCCCGGCCACCTTCAATGATTTGGGAACATACACACAGGCATCAGCACTGGTAGCAAGCCTGTCATTTGGTACAATGTATTAAATGCCTTTTGGAAGTCCGTATATACATCAACTGTAATATCTAATAAAACCTCAGTTTTCACTTCATGGAAAAACAATTAAATTGGATAGCATGATCTATCTTTAAGAAAATTACATTGGCTTTCCTTAGTTAATCTATATTTGTCCAAAAGACTGTGGTGCACACAAACACAAACACAAGCTTATATACACAAACAATCTCACATATATACACACATACAAACACACACACTCTCTCACATTCATTTACACATATACAATTTTTTTTATTCATTCACAGGATGAGAATATCGTGGGCTAGGCCAGCATTCATTGCCCATCCCTAATTGCCCAGGGGGCAGTTAAGAGTTGATCACATTGCTGTGGGTCTGGAGTCACATATAGGCCAAACCAAGTAAGGATGGCAGTTTCCTTCTCTAAGGGACATTAGTGAACCAGATGGGTTTTTCTGACAATTGACAATGGATTCACAGTCGTCATTAGACTCTTAATTCAGATTTTTTTATTGTTGAATTCAAACTCCACCATCTGCTGTGATGGGATTCAAATCTGAGTCCCCAGGAACATTATCTAAGTCTCTAGATTAACAGTCCAGCAATAATATCAGAAGACCAGCACCTCCCCGAGTACTATCACGCAAAGGTACACTTATGCACATACACACACTAACACACACATGTTCACGCAAGCACACACCTACAATGTCTCACACGTGCATGCACACACAAACATGATTTCACACATACGTGTTATGACAACACACAAACTCCCACATATAAACATTCCCTCACATACAAGTGCACACACGTAAACATACACATACAGAAATGTTCTCTCACACATGCTTGCATGTATATACACACACTTACACAAGAACACTCAGGCAAGCCATTCATGTGCTCACTCACATCCATAAGCCATCACACAAAAATGCATTCTCACTCACATCCACATTAACACTTGTGTACACGGTCTCATGTCTGGCATTTTTGAGGATTCGTGGAGAGCCCAGAAAGGAGAAACAATTCTTTCTAGAGAGGGATTGGTGGGGGCTGAGGGCAGGACTCACATGTCCCACATGAGGAAAACTGTCTCTTTGACAGAGCTTTTGGATACCTGTTCTAATGTTTCCTCATAGAAGTGTCAAATTTAGTTTGATAATATTCCCTCGCTTACTAATGTTCAAGGTACTATATGAATGCAAGTTGGTGCTGTTGTAGGTTATCTGCCAAATGGATTCCACAATAAGGATGAGCTGCTAACGGCTCTCCAGATTTTGGGTTGGCAGTGGTGAAGGTCAGAAGCTACAGTCTGCCTCAGGATTGTTGACTCAGGAACTGCAGTGTTTTGCCAGCGGGTGCTGCCCCTGATTGCCCCCTGGTGTTTCTGCTGGATATTGCGTGTGAGAACTGGATGAGGTTCACGCTGGGGTCTGAGTGATGAACCTGCAAGCACTCATCATCTCGGATCCCATGTTTAAAACAGCCACTTAGACCAGCGACCAGTCAGGAAATAAACAGCAGGAATTTCATTAACGTAACAAGTCAGACTGGAAGCAGGAGGCCTGAGAGAGTTAACTGCCTGCAGAGGGAGTAAAGATCAAATGACAGGGGGATAAGTCTTTGGATCATAAGACTATAACACACAGAAGCAGAATTAGACCACTTGTGCTCATTGAGTCTGCTTCACCATTCGATCATGGCTGATATGTTTCTCAACCCCATTCTCCTGCCTTCTCCCCTTGACCTTTGATCCCCTTACTAATCAAGAACCTATCCATCTCTGTCTAAAATACACTCCATGATTTGACCTCCACAGCTCTTTGTGGCAATGAGTTCCATGGTGCGGCACGGTGGCTCAGTGGTTAACACTGCTGCCTTACAGCACCAGGGACCTGGGTGTCTGCGTGGATTTCCTCTGGGTGCTCCGGTTTCCTCCCACAGCGGGAAGATGTGCAGTTTGGGTGGATTGGCCATGGGAAATTGCCCATAGTGTTTAGGGATTGCAGGCTGGGTGGATTAGCCATGGGAAATGTAGGGTTACAGGGATAGGGTAGGGGCTGCATCTGAGTGGGATGCTCAATGTAGATTCGATGGGCTGAACAGCCTGCTTCCACATGTAGGGATTCTGTGATTGACTGATTCCCCACCCTGTGGCTGAAGAAATTCCTGTTCATCTCAGTTCTAAAGGGTTGTCCCTTTATTCTGAGGCTGTGCCCTTGTGTGCTAATCTCTCCTCGTGGTGGAAACATTTTCTCCACACCCACTCTATATCAGGCTTCTCAATATTCTGTAAGCTTCAATCAGATCCCCCTCTTCCCCCATCCTTCTAAAATCTATCGAGTACAGACATAGAGTCCTCAACCACTCGTCATATGATAAGTCCCTCATCCCTGGGATTGTTCTTGTAACATCCTCTGGACAGCCCCCAACACCAACACATCCTTCCTTAGATATGCGACCTAAAACTGCTCACAATATTCCAAATGTGGTCAGACCAGAGCCTTATACCTCTTCATCAGTACATACCTGCTTTTGTATTCTAGTCCTCTTGAAATGAATGCTAACATTGCATTTGCCTTCCTAACGGCCAACTGAATTTGTAAGTTAACCTTCACAGAATCCTGAAATAGGACTCCCATGTCCCTTTGTGTTTCAGATTTCTGAGGCCTCTCCCCATTTAGAAAATAGTCTATTCTTCCTACCAAAGTGCATTACCTCACACTTTCCCACATTGAATTCCATCTGCCACTTCTTTGCCCATTCCCCTATCTTGTCAAGTCCTACTGCAGCCTCCCTGCTTCCTCAATACTACCTGCCCCACCACCTGTCTCTGCACCATCTACAAATTTAGCAACAATGCTCTCAGTTCCTTTGTCCAGATTGTTAATGTATAATGTGAATAGATTTAGACCCCACTTTGACCCCTGCCGAACTCCACTAGTCCATCAGCTGCAGTTCCTGAAAAAGATCCCTTTATCCTTATTCTCCACCTTCTGCCAGTCAGCCAATCCTCTATCCATCCTCCATCCATCCTTGCCTGGCCGAGGTAGTTAATCTAAGAGGTGCGATGCCTTTTGAAACAGACATTGACTTGTCAAGGACGTATATAAAGCCTTTTGTACCCTGCCTCAATTTGTATAGGTTGTCCTAGATATTTCAGTGTGGTAAGCAGGGAGTGAGAATCTGTGGGTATTGTTTTTGCCCCTGAACCATGAGCTGGGGGTTTATGTCCCATACTAGGACCTGATGGCCAAGATATTGCAGTCATTAAGCAATCCAACAGGTAGGGGATGAACTTATAAATCCTTCCAATACACACCAAAGTAAGAGAGGGAGAGATTCCTGATCAGTCAAGTGATGAGGCAATAAATTGGAGCCTCTGCAGCTCTAGCTGTAAGCCCAGACTACAACATGCATATAAATGTGAATGTTCCCATGGCAGCTTAGAGTCTTTGATGAACTGGAACACACCAGCAGCACTGAGGGAGTGCTGCACTGTCAGAAGAGCTATCTTTTAAGTAGATGTTAAATCAAGGCCCCTCTCAACTTGGTGTAAAAGATCCCACAGCACTATTTGAAGAACAGGGAAAGGTCCTGTCTGTTAAGATAAAATATTAGAGCAGAATAGGTCAAGGGGCAAGTTAGTGGAGGTGTTGAAAATTAAGAGAGCTTTTTTGTAGAGTCTATCAGGAAGAAATGTAGCCCTTGGCAGAGAACAAATTTAAAATGATTTGGGACAGAAATGGGCACAATTACTTCTTTTTCAATGCTGTAACTCCGTTTACTGTTTGCCTGTTCATATGTAGCAGTTGAAGAAAACATTGAAAGTACCTGTTGCTCCAATCGTCTCTGAGGAATCTCGGCTTCGTTGACGAGGATTCTGAAAGGGACCACAGACACTGTTAGATACCAGAGCTGGAACATAACCAGAATGTCCAGGAGGAGGTGCTGGGAAAAAGCTTCAGCTTTTTGTGCACTACGTAATCACCGCTGAAAACGGGTGGATACTACAAAGCAACAAGAGTGGCCATGCCAATAATAATTCAAATTCATCATCATAGAATCCCTACAGTGTGGAAACAGGCCCTTAGGTCCAACAAGTCTACACTGACCCTCAGAGCATCCCACCCAGACCAATCCCCCTAATCTAGGCATCCCTGGACATTACGGGCAATTTAGCACAGCCCATCCACCCTACCCTGCACATCTTTGGACTGTGGGAGGAAACCGGAGCGCCCAGAGGAAACCCACGCAGACATGGGGAGAATGTGCAAACTCCACACAGATAGTTGCCTGAGGGTGGAATCAAACCCAGGTTCCTGGCGCCGTGAGGCAGCAGTGCTAACCACTGAGCCACTGTGCCATCCCAAATTGAACATGCTATCTACCACATGCAAGATGTTTGGAAAATATGTTGAAATTAAGAAGCAGACTGCCTTTCTTCCATTCATGTGAAGTTTCTAAAGGTTATATTCACTGGCATAAAGACTTGGATTGAGTTACTCCTCCGTTTAAGTATTGATGGAAATAAACTTCCCAGACTTTTGACATTGTTTCCTCACAATGAAGGGAGGAGTTGGATATCCCTCCTTGCTAGATGTTAATTTTGGGCATCTGTGGGCAGCTTCACTGTGTGGAGTAAAAGGGTTTTACGACCACCCCTGCAGTAGCTCTAGCCATCCTGCTCTGGATCTGCTTGAAGATAACTTCCCCTATTATCTTCAGCCAGCCATCACTGGAGTGGTTAGGCAGAGACAATGCCTTAAAGCCTCCAGATGAGTAATAAAATTGGCTCTTCTTTATTCAAATGTTAAAGAAACTTATGGGGAGTACCTGTACTACACACTTCTGGACATCCTGGTCAATATTTTTCCCTCAGCCACAATCACAAAAACAGGTTAGATGACTATGTGTCCCAGTACTGTTCGCGGAGTTGCTGTGAGCAATTTGGTTGGCGTATTTCATATATTGAGAAGTACTTCATTTGTCATGAAGCATGTTGGCATATCACAAAGTCATGAAAAGCCATATACAAATGCAAATCTCCATTTTTGTCCTGATTCTTTAATGACCTATAAATTCTGCCTCTTGATTTAGCCTACAGCGTCTAAATAAATTGACATCTGCTAACTGATCAACAGACCAAATACAGTCTTGACTAGTCCCGTGTGAGTGAAAGAAACCCTGCAGTCTTGGATGTGATTTCTTACTGATATTCCATTCAAAGTGTTTTGTAATTTTATATTAGAGTCAATCCTGACACTCAACTGTCAGTTCCAGAACTGACGAGGTTCCTTCCTGCAATTACATTGTTGTGCATTTACTGCTCACAGCTGTGTTATTTTGACATGTGCTGGGCCTGAAATGCAGTTCTATAGATGAAACTCTCCGAAAACTTTCCAATCCAGTGACCATTCTTCATGTGTGTGTAGCTACATAGTGAGTGCCAAGATACTGAAGCACCCAGTTCCTGAAGCAATCCATTGTGGAGTAAAGGCCAACTATACTCTTATTCTAAGAATAACTACTGAGCATGTGCATAAATATCTATGCCCTCTTTTACCAACCCTTGTATAGAGTTATGTTCAATAAATACTATGAATGTTCACCCACCTGAGTGTAGACCTGACCATGCAACATGGTGGCAGCGTTGATCAGGCCCACAGATCCTGAGGCGAGTAGCAAGAAGTGCCTTAGGTGAAACCAATGGCAGTATGTTGCTACAGGGGAAGGATATGATCAGGCTGGCCATCAGAGCACCGCTGTGGGGGTTAAAAACCCCAAAAAAGCGCTCAGTGGCATCATGTGGTGGGTGAAGCAGTTCCAGATTTTGAGCCTTTTCTGAAAGCAAACCCAGTGCTTCGAATGGCTCAATAAAACACAAAAAGTGGAACAAATCCAGCCCAGATATTTAACGTTCCATCAGCCTACTCTCAATCTTCAAGTTTGGGAAGGGGTCATCAACAGTGCTACAAAGAAGCAATTGCAAAAGAATAACCTGCTTAATGACACATAGTTTCAGTTCCACCAGCACTACTTAGCTTCTGAAATCATTCCAGTCTTGGTGCAGTCAAGGACAATAAGAGGGGAGGTGAGTGATTGCCTTTGGCATCAAGGCTATATTTGACTGGGAGTAGCATCAAGGAGCCCGAACGAAATTGGAGTCAATGGGAATCAGGGGGAAATGCTTCATTGGTTAGAGTCATGTCTAATACAAAAGAAGATGATTGTGGTTATTGGAAGTCGTCTCAGTTCCAGGACATCTCTGCAGGAGTTCCTCAGGGCAGTGTCCCTAGGCCCAACCATCTTCAGCTGCTTCATCAATGACTTTCCCTCCATCATAAGGTCAGAAGTGAGGATGTTCGCTGATGTTTGCACGACGTTTAGCACCATTTGTGACTCCTCAGATACTGGAGCAGTCCATGTCCAAATGCAGGAAATCTTGTACAAATCCAGGCTTGTGCTGATAAGTGGCAAGTGATATTCATGCCACACAAATGCCAAGCAATAGCTATCTCTAACAAGAGTAAATATGATCATTTATTTCCCATTCAACGGCATTACCATCACTGAATGCTCCACTATCAACATCCATTATCATTGACTAGAAACTGAACTGGACTCACCACATAAATACAATGGCTATGAGAGCAGGTTAGAAAGTAGCAATCCAGCATGGAGTAACTCACCTCCTGACTTCCCCAAAAGCCTGTCCACCATCTAAAACGCACAAGTCAGGAGTGTGATGGAATACTCCCCACTTGCCTGGATGAGTACATCATTCAAAAAGCTTAAAACCATCCAGGAAAACATAGCCTGCTTGATTGGCACTTCATCCAATGCCTTCTCAAGGGAAATTAGAGATTGGCAATAAATGCTGGAAAGAATTTACAAAAAAAGGCTCTTGCCTAAAGGTGGTCTTCTTAGCTAATGCAGAATATGTCCTCAAACAGTGTCCTTACAAGCAAATGATAGCCACAAAATATTTTTATGATCGGGGAACTGATGGTTTTCTCTTTATTCCCTGTACTCGTGCTTTTACTCACAACAGAAATCAGTGTACAGCAACAAATGGTCACTGAGTTGCTGAGATAGGTAATTTAGTTGTAACTACAAATCAGTAACCATTGGTTAATCACAGCAGAAAAAGGAAACTTTACATTTATATAAATCTTCTCATGACTACGGCACAAGTCAAAGTCCTTTACAACAAATCAAATACATTTCTTTAAAATACAGTCACTATTGGAATGGCAGGAAATTCTATTGCCAATTTAGGCACAGCAAGCTCCCACATACAGCACTGTGATAAATGATCTGACAACAAAGTGTTTTTTTTAATCTCGGAGAGGGCAGATGGCACCTAAGTTTAAAATCTCAGTTGGAAAGCTAAACACAGAGAACTGATCAGCCACCAATCAGGCCAACACTCGATGTAAGCAATCTACCAGTACCCAAAGTCATTAACTAACGCTGAATAGAGGTCACCTTTCTGTGATCACTACCGTCTCTTACCCCTTGTTATTGATGAGAATGCCCCTCCTGACACAATATGTTTCGTCCAAGGCATGAATAGCCGATTTGGGATTCTCCACTAATTTAGACCAGAAGAGGGTGTATTCAGCGAGAGCTCCAGTCATGGCAGTGCCAAGGACTGCCTGTGCCACACACCAGCACCACCTTTCACTGAGAGTGCTGACAGGGTGGCCTGGAGATGTCACAGCTCCACCTGATCCCGTGGTCATTCAGCGTAATATGATGCCCCTTCAGTTTCAAACAGGTTCATGTTGCCTGGAGAATTCTTGCTTCATGTTCGTATGTTTGATAGTCAGGTTCTTAACCCTTTCAGTGAACTTTCTGACCCATCAAACGCGACGCTTGCTATAAGGCAATAATTAGCATTTACAGTCACTGGTAGCCATTCTGGACAAATAGTCATTCCTCATGAGCTCCCTTGGATCAGGCACTGTTTAATGTGAAGTATCACACATAAAGATAAACAAGTGTTTATCTCATAACTTTCACAACATCCTGAAACATTTTACAGAGAACAAACGACTTTTTTTCTGGAGTGTTGCCTCTGTTTTAATGAGGGAAATTAATGCAGAGCAAGCTCCCACCGATAACAATCTGATAATGGCCTGTTTTCTGTGTTAATTGAGGGACACCGCACTCTTGTTCGAACTGGTGTCATGGCATCTTTTCCAACTACCTGTGAGGCCAACACAAACATCTGACACTGAAGCTGAAAATATCACTGAGCCACAGGCAAAATCGTAATTCTAACCTTCACCCATTAAACCCCACTTTGCTGCAGAGCAGAATTGAATGTGCAATCACAGGCAGGTACATGGCTGACTCTGACCTTCTAGAGTTCATTGGGTTCTGAGAACAGGAACCCCACCTTACCCACCCTGAGAGAGGGGTGAGGAGCAACCAATGAACTGAGATCGCCATGGAAACTGAGTGGGAGTGCTGTATTAATGGTGATACCCCCTGTCTTTGTAACCTGACAGAAACATCACAGGGAGAAAATTACTTTCCCTTTTGAAATATTAATGGACCATCTGTGGTGATGGTGTTAATTAAAGGCGGATAAAGTGCCTGTAAGCAATGCCCTATGAAGCAACTTGTTCAGGCCTTGGTACTGACATTAGATTGTGGCTGTTTGATTGACAGCACTCTCCCCCCATTTCTGAGTAAGAGAATCCTGGGAATATACCCCATTTGAGCAAATGGTTTGGCTGCTATTTCTTGTACTGTACTGTAGGGTTGCTGCAACCCCCCCACCCCTTCAGAGATGAGATGTTAAAAGTAGACTCCGTCTGCTCTCTCAGACAGATGGAAACAATCTCATGACACTATTCAGAAACAAGCAGGAGAATCCTGTCTCATCTACATCCTTCAAACAACACATTGAAGCC